TCTTGATTCTCTTGCGTCAAATACTGTATAGATAAACATTTTCATATTAGCATTAAAGTCAAGGAGAATATAGTCTTTGACCTTGGTGGAGAAACACTGGCCCATAAGATAAGAATATCACAGATAGAACCGGGGAGAATTCAGAGAAAATGCTTCTTGTTTTTTTTTTTTTTTAAAAAAAAAAGTTGAAGTATGGAAAAATATTCAAAATGCTGTGTGCAAAGAAATTATTATTTCTGGTTTATATTATCCAGAACATCTCAATGGAATAGCTTTGTATTAATAATATCTCATCTATTATGTATATTGCAATATGCCTAACAGCTGCTGAAGTAATTAGATTACACTAATTCTTCTCTTTTTCTTTCCTTTTTTTGAGGAGGTAAAGTGATTAAGAGGGTAGTTTAGAGGGAAGTATACCTTACCTTACAGACTTCTCTTAGATTAGCAGCATTAGCGATTACATTTTACTATAACTGCTTGTCTCCAAAATTCTGTTCTCATTTTGAGATCTGGTCTTTTCTTTCTTTTTAATGTCCACCAATGACACTCTATCATAGCATCATTGCATACATTTTTTTGATTATGTAATATTTCACTAGAATCCAATTTTTCAACTTTAGTATAGTTCTGTTTTAAAGATGCGGAGTAAGGAACTCGGGGAATGAACAAGTAGCTGAATATTGAATCTTAAGTCTGAAAGCATTGAATTATTCTGGATTAGAAAGCCCTGATTTATCCTACCTATAATTCATTGATGAGATGCCTGTGCATGACAGATATTGCACAAAGCTTGATCATTAGTTATTATTTTAAACCTTCGGTAAGTGTTAAAAAATCTTTGGGGAAAAACGCAGAGGATAATCTGTTAAGGCTTCAGCTCTTGTAGATTATTTTTTTTTTTTAAGGCAGCGTATCCATAAGAGATTCCCTCTGTTAAGTCATCTCTAAAGCAATCTTGTACTACTTAACAGAGGTGCTATTTTCTACTTCATGTGTCTCCCTATAAATTGTGCAGGAGGCATTACAGAGTGCTGTGCCTGCCACTGAGCTCACAAAAAGGGATATCAGGAGAAGCTTTGCACATTCATTATGTTCTCTGTGCATTGCCTTTCTGGCCAGGAGGGACAGATTTTAGCAGGGGGTGATGAGGGCAGAGCAGAGCCTGAAGGGACACTGGAAAATCTTTGCTAATCCCCAAAGACTGCAGAACAGCTTGGCTCAGCAGCTCTCATGAGAGCCTTAGTAATTAACATATTTTTTGGGCACTACTTAGAGATAGTGTTAGAGAAACACAGCACAATGTCCAATTCCTCTTTCCCTCTTGGCCCCTGTGTCCACAATTCCCAGTGTAGGTTTGTGGAAGGAGAGTAGAGCTGCTTTGGAAGGAGGCAGGTGTTGAACCTCCTTCCTGGTGGCACTTCTCAGCATACTTCACCACCAGCACTGGACTTACTATTGAGTAGCAGCAACCCTACCGAGATGAGATACTCCTTTTCACCCACATAGCAGGTAGCTACATACTCCTGCTGTGATCTAACTGCTTAAAAGGGCTAATAAATATAGTGCTAAACTGATAGCAGACCTATGTCCTCCTGGACTGGCAGCATCTGCCAGGCGTTGTACCTGAAAGCTGCTTGAATGTGCTAGCTGTCCATGTTTAGGTAAGTGAGTACAGCCACTTGTCTGTCTGTCTTCACCTCTTGTGCAGCACAAGGACCATAACTGCAGAGGAAGCATCAGCGTGATGGGTAAAAGTACGTTTTCAATAGAAAGGTTCTGAGTTATCTTCCTGCGTGCAACTGACGGGTCACACAGTGTCAACATAGATTAATCTCAGCTTACTTGGAGGCAAAAGTGAAATAAAGAGACTGTGGAGGGATACAGAATCTCACTGAGAGTCCTGTCTATCATGTTCTTGGAGAACCTCCATCTTCAATTACCACGGAGTTCAGCATTGCACTCTCCAATTTCAAACAAAATTGAATCTTACCAGGAGCAGACCTCTGTGCATGATGCTCTGTGGGTTGTTTTTGTACATGTGGTTGCTGCTTTACGGATTTCTGTTGGGCCTGACCCTCTAAAGAGCAGCCTTAACTGATGGACTGCTTTGCTGAAATGCTGTGTTCTGCTTCAAGATTTTTTTAATTTGGGGTAAAAATTCAACTGTTGACATTAGGTTGAGCAACATAAGGCCTAAGTACTATTCTGAGGTTTCTTTGTCAGTTCTTGACTTCTCAGACCTTCACTGTTTTGCCATCTGCTGTAATTGAAAATTGCCTTCTGCAACCAAAGGGAAAATCTAATTTCTCAGTAAGCCATATGGGGTTATTAAGATCATTATACCCTGGTATGCCATAATGCCTGGGCCAAAAGGATCAGAGGGTATGTAAATATTGTGATTGCTTTAGACTGCAAGTTAAGAATTATTCTGATGGTGATCTTATGATGAAAAGTGGTAGTCAAGTAGGTTACTGCAGATATTGTTTGGCTAGGTCAACATATGGTACATTTATTCAGGGCTGAGCCAGATGAGAAATGTTTTTAAAAGTGTTTGATCACAAAGGGTACATATTTTATATCAGTCTGACAAATGATCAGAACTAGACAGTGTCCTTAATTTTGCCAGTGATGCTCAAGGCAGCCTCAAATTTTGATATTAAGAAACTAGAGAATACAAGTTCAAGTCTTTGGGAAGACCCAGACTTGGCTTCTGATACCAGATCTAAAGCTGATGATAGGAAATGTATTCCCTTTCCTTTCTTAAGAATGGGAAAGCTGTTCCCCTGCATATGTCTATTCCTGAACATTTTTAAAACATAGCTGCTGAAATTTTTCTCTATTTAGTTGTGATATTTTGTAAGATTCCTTCCAAGTAAAAGATACTTTTATATATTTGGCACAATTATGTAAAAGGAGAGTAAAGCTGATTTTTGGTTAACAAGGCTTCAAAAATGAATGCAGGAGCTATGAAATTTACATGAAATTAAACAAAGAATAGCCTGGTAAATGCAAATAAATGCAGAAAGGAATATTTTAATTTTGATCCATGATTAATGCCAAAAGATTACCAGCAAACCATTACTTTGTGGTGATGACATAAAAACTCAATAGGAATAAAAAAAAAAAATCTATATGCACTGGTAAACTGATGGCAGTAAGCTATTTTTTGTAGGAGAAATGAGTTATTTATCCATTTTGAAAAATATAGCTGTTGATTACATTTCAGGTTCAGTCTTTAATTGCATCTCAGTATTTTTGACTGGTATATTATGTATTATATTCCCACATTTTACAATGTGACAATCATGGCCAGTAGGTTTATTCATATTCTGCTTATTATTAAATGAATTACTCTGAAAACATGTATTATTTATTGCCACTTTTTTGTGGTATGCAACTAAATGGGTTAAAGAATAAATTGTTAAAGTCATATATCAGAAAGAAAAGAATACTTTCTGTTTTCTAGTTCTCTTAATCTAACTGCATTTCCTTCCTCTGTAGGTCATGGTTTCAGTTTTAAGACAACAGAAACCAAGCAGTTCTGCATAGACTTTAGTTTCCATAGCACTGAGCTAACTACGTACTCCTATTTGAAATCAATATAATTTAAAGAAGATAGAGAAATCTGCCTTATTCTAACTGTATTTATACTGCCCAAATAGCTTCCTTTTTATTTTAGCATTCTCAGAAATAACAGTTAGGATAGGAAAGAATTCACTACCTTTTTTTTTTTTTTTTTTTTTTTTTTTCTGAAAGCTGAAGTCCAGCCAAACTTCAGATCTTTTTACTAACCTGGTCTTAGAGAAGCTGTGAAGTTTTATTTTGTTTTTAGTGTGAAGTTGGACTGCATATTTTTTACATGACTCTTACAGTCTATCTCACATTCTATACTTTGGATGCTTTGCATCCCATGTATTAAGTGAATGCTCCACCTGAAAGGAATACAATTTACTTCTCTTAGACACACCAGAGCACACCTGACTTGTTCCAACCTAAAGGACATTCATGGCCATAGAACCAGAATGGTACCTAAAACTAGTCTGAAGGATGCTCCCACAGTGTGGGGACTTTTTATGGAGCTTTACAGAAAAAAGGCCCTTGGGAGAAGGGTGGGGATCAGTAGAGACAGGAGGCAACAACCTAGTCATGAAGTCTGGACTCTTAGACTTCTCCATGACTTGATTTTTCCATAACTAGATAAATCCCCTGCCCTGATAGCATCACATCTCTAGTGATGCATTGCTCTTCACTGTGCTCTCTTGCACGTCAGGCATGGGATATGTTTTTTGTGACCCCTCTTTTGTGATTGCATTCATTTGGCATGATTTTATGGAAAAATCCTCAGCCTGCACTAAATGCAGTTTCCCTTCTAATACATTAATTCAGAAGGAAAAACTGAGACCTCAGTAATGAAGTGCTGTCTGCAGGAAGGTATGTGCTTAACACAAAATACCATTATGCCCAAATACTAATTAAAGGCAGCACAAGCCCAGCAAGATCCTAACCCATTTGCATATGGTGGAGGTGAAATTCCCATTCATTTTTAAACTCTGCTTATGAATTCTTTATGTACTGGTAATCCTTGTGATATGGATCACAACTGAGCCAGTGAAGGAATTCTATAATTGAAAATAATTTGAAGTCATCTCTGGCCAAATCCAGCATTGAAAAAGACCTGAAGTTCAAGAGCACACAATGCCATTACTGCCACATGAAACCAGCTATGTTTACATTCATGAAGCTTCAAGCTTAAGGATGCCCTGATGTAGCTACATGACTCCCCCACATATCCTCACCTACTGCATTATCAAAGCAGCAAATATATATGTGGCTTAATGTCAAATTTTGAGAATTAGTTTGTCCTAAACATCATTGCCATGTGCTATTGATTTGTCTTTTCTCAATATTAGACTGATTCTTCCTGTACAAGATGTATTCAGACTGTTTAATTTTTGATTCAAATCTTAGCAGAGTGTTTAATCAATATTTATTTTTACCTGTGTGAATGATTCAGAGCAAGATCAGGCTTCCTCATTTTTAAGTAGCAGGTTGCAAGCTTTGTCTCAATAAAACTGGCAACACTGGAAATATCATGTGGAGATGAATCAAAGGGTTTGCCCATAGCAGCACCTTTACTGCAAAGCTGTATAGGAAACAGAAAAAATATTTACTAATGTTATAATACATTTTTTGTTAGCTAGAGGTGCTTTTTACAGCTGATAAAAGAGGAAAGCTGACTTCTAAGTAAAATATTGCCTGGCTTTAACTACAGTTACCACTACAATAGCGATCAATACAAATACATGTGAATATAATATAAAATGCAATGTCTTCTTCCATCGTACAGTACTTTCCGAAAGGGATATTTGAGAGAGCAGATAGTAAAGCGAAGAATTTAAAAAAAACACTGCTATGAGAGAAATTATGCTTTTTCCCCCATTTCCAAAAATAAAGGTTCAATTCCAAGCTCCCAGGATCAGTGCATATCTTGAGAGCAAGGTCCAAGGAAGAATAGTCTTACATGGTTATTTATACATTTCAGCACAGCCAGGAGGACCGCTCTGCTTTAGGATATTACCTTTGTCCTGCAGTTAGGAAACAGAAAGGCCAAGAGAGAAGACCCAAGAGAAACACTCACCCTCATTTACTGCCAGGGCTTGTCTTTTGGAAAACTGCTGTAGAAAGTAACCAGAAAGGAAAGATGGCTCAGTCCAATCTTCTCGAACCATATTGAATTTAATAGATAGCATATTCTTTGCATTAAAAAATATTTCTTCCTGTTGGACAGTCAAAGCACCTGCTTTTCACCACAGAAAGCTATTTAATCAGCAATTCACTATCTAGTTTATAGTGCAGTGCATCATTAGAACTAGATATTCCCCAGCTCCTCAGGTTTTCATGGAGCCTTCAGCCCTATTAGGGCCAGAATACCTGACAGGATTGCCTTGGGTCTGATCCAGCAGGTTAGTCCTCAAATTCTTATGTTGAAACAGCTAACCTGATTTTTGAGATGCTGACTACTGTTTTCTTATTTCATAAGAAAACTCCAATGTCATTCATGTATTGATTAAGTCTAAGGGTCTTTAGGAGGATAACTGCATTCACTGTAAATCAACTTTAAACTTAGACTTTTGGTTCAGTGTTTATCAAGCTGTAGGCCTAAAATCTGAGACCCTCACAACAGTGACACTTAAGGGATGAATGCAGCCTCTGCTTTAAATGGGATGTAACCAAAGAAGTCTCATTGCAGTCAGGTTTCTTCAGGTTTTAAAAGGGAAGGAGAAGGGTTTTCCTTGTTTGCCTAGTTTTTCAGCGCTAACACCTAGTTACTGCTTGGTTACAATGCAGCGGTTGATCTTGAGGAGGTGCAATGTCACATCAGCAGCCTGAGATCTCTTTGAAAGATTAAATCTGTCAAGAAGACAGCTCTTCTGTACACAACTTTCTTCCTCAAAAGCAGGGAGGGATTACAGACCTGCAGGCACACTCATACCTACAAAGCTAGCCCCATTTTTAAGATTTTGTGCATTGATTGGAGATGAGCTCAATTCTTCACAGGCAACAAGGGTCATTCAGTGGCATCCCCCTAGTTCAGGAGATAAATCTGCTCTTAGCAGGGAAGCAATGTGAAGGAGTTGCACAGTGTATGTAATAACACCCATACATTTAAAATTTTCTATCATCTTGTTATCAGTAGAAGTTATAAATCAGAGGATTCATCACTTTTAACTTTGCTCATGGTACCATATATATCTGCTGAAGTGTCTCTATGGGTAAGACATGCTATGTGTAGCTAAAAGACCCGGAGAATTATGTTCACATCAGTGAACATAAAAGTATCATCAAGTTTTTCTGTAATAACACTTTCCAATTGAATTGGCCATGCTGTGACCTCTGTTAAATTTATGGGAATTGGAGGTTAGAGGCTACTCCCCAGACTTCTGAGTTCTTGAATGATTGTAAGAAGAAAAGAATCATTTAGGGATCCCTTCACTAAAATGCCACCATTCAGCAGTAAGACTCGCAGAGTCTCTGATGTGAAGAGTTATGTTGAGAACTGCATAGCCTCTCAGTTATCTTCAACAAAAGACAAAACATAAATCTCTGAAAACCTTATCTAAAGAGATAAGGATTCAGCAAATATATTTAAATACTGTGAAGATCTGTTTCTATTGCACCTTCTCTATGTGATCTTGAAGTAACAGCCTCAAAGTTGCAAATAATTCACTCTTTAATCTCACTGCGTCAACTTAATGTTTTCTTTTTTTTGCTAGTCTTTTTGACATTTAGGTTGTGTACTTCTAGGTCATGAACTCTTACAAATTTTTGTGCAGCTGTTCCCCAGTGGATCAGTGGGTTTGATTTTTACCCCCTCCACACCAGTTCCATACAAATGACAGGCTTGAACTTAATTTTACCACAATAGCTCCTTCTATACTAAGTAGAACTGTTATGAGTCCAAAAAATGGACCACATATATTATTTTGATAGGATGCACAATAAATTAAACATACCCTTTGCTAATATCATCATTGTAATGGATGTTTTTGGTAGCAATATAACCACTGGAAAAGGTTTTGCATTGGGCAAACCATCCTGGTGGAGACCAGCAAGCCCAGTGTTATTCTCCAAGCTCTGACGGAAATGCGTTTTATTTGTTTCTTCACCCTTTATTGCATTTCGCTGTCATTTCTGATAAAAGGACTTGGCCATGTAGCAGGAGACAGGCTGTTCCCTGGTGTTGTCCTGCCTGCTGCTGGGCATGGAGACAAACGGAGGCTTTTTGGGGTCTAAGGAGGCTCTGCTCAGGAGCCCTGGGGGAGGATTTGGGCAGGAAGGAGGCAATGGGCTGGGATTTTGCAGCCCAGCTGAATCTGGGGCGAAAAGCAGCAGAAAGACTTCAAGTTTCAAAGGGGAGAGCAAAAGGAAAAACCCCTAGGGATGCAGAGGGAAGCATGTAGGTAAAACGGCTGTGGCTGGGGAGGAAAGCTGTGCTGTGCATGGCCATAACGAGCAGGGAGGAGATTTGTTTGCAATTTTCACATCTCACTCAGCGGAACTGAGTTTTCTTGTTCTGGTCTGCAGCCCAATAATGCTACCTTTGAAGATCAAAAGGGCTCTTGCTATTTTTTTCAGAATGTTGCTTTAAGTAAAAGGTGAAAGCAGCTGCAGCTCCTCTGAATACTTTAAGGTCATAGCACAAGGACATTCAGGCAGAGAGGTGGTGCTGGAGAGAGGCAGTTAAATCTTGTATCGTTGAGGGTTTCTTTTCACAGAACTATGTTACAAAATTTGATTTTTAATATCAAACTGGGAAATTTGGGGGGTACCCTTTATTTCAGTGCACTCTTGGGTGTGCAGAAATCTTGCTGATGTCTGAAAGTTTATAGAGCCTATGAAGTTGAAGAAAACAGTTTAGAACAGTTAAAGCTTTACTGCCAATCTGGGGTTAAAAAGCTGAATTTTTTCATTTTCTGTTCTTTTACCATAGCTGGCAAATATAACAGTATCTTCATTTTCAGTCTTGGTCTACCTAAGAGTATTTCTCTACCTGTGAGAGGATGGGAATATTCTTTCATAAATAACATATAATGTTAAAAATATTACTATATATGTATATATAAATATTTTTGGTAGAGACCCTTTTTATAACTGTAGATTTTGTATCCATCAGGTATGCAAAACATAAGACTACTGAAATATCACACTCGGAGACTTATTATGCATATAGATGAAATGTAATCAAAGTGTTACCTCCAGTTTTGCAAGGAGAGAACTGAGATGTGTAGACATTAATTATGTTACACTTTTACTGATAAAGGAGGTATCTCTTACAATGTGTATGAGCCTATTAATGTATTAATGAAACCATAGTCATATAAATGCTGGTGATAAAGTGGCTTGTCAAAGGTCACGGAGGAAGTCCGTGATGCTGTGAACTCAGCATAGATCTTGTTGATAATATTAAGGCTTTAATTTTGGCAGTAGCAAGTAAGGAAGTTTTATGAATAAAGACCTCCCAGGCATTAGCTAATAAGCACCCCCATCCCACCCTGGCTTTGATAAAGGACCAGTGGGAATGCTAATATATAAGCTAGCTTGCTAGTTAGCATGTGTAAATTGGAAGAATAAAATTAGGGCTGGATGCTCTACGTGTTGGGGTGTTTGGGTTTTCCGCCAGAGCTGTTTTGACTTTGATAACAAGACACAAGATGCAGCTGCAAAAAACAGCAGTGGTAGCAGTTTACTAATTATTGCTACGGATTTGGTAGATGTATTCCTGATTTTAATATTTCACCCCCAAGAATAAGATGCCTATCTACCCCTCTACATGTGTGGATGCAGATCATATATCTGGTAGAAAATCTAGCTAAGAAAGTGCTTGGGAGTACAAGAGAATTGGATCAAATGTTGTATTTCAGCAAAGGATTCTTTGGCACCTTCAAGATCAGTTGCCCTTTCCTGTGCCAGTCTGAAAGGGTTAAGAATAAGTTTGATAACAGCAAAATCCTGGTAGCCTTGCTGGAGCTGATTGCTTTGATTTCCCCTGCCCAAAACAGAAGAATGCTTAATCGTGCCTCTCAGTTTTAAAGATAACTTTGTGCTTTCCCCTGAAGTGATTTATTTCAGAGTGACTAACCAGAGGGACAAACCTGAAATGGCAGGATATATTTAATTAGCATCTTTCCCCCTGCCTCGCCAGCAGCCCTGCCCAGGCGCTCAGTGCAGAGAGGTCCAAGTGTTCGTGGAGCAGCGGTGTTGCGCCGCACGCCAGGCGCTTGGCAAGCTCAGCACCAACTGCAGCCCAGAAAATGCCTGCTAAGGAAGGCTATTGCAAAAAGAAAAAAAAATCACTGCTGTTACAGCTTCATCCATGCCGGGTTGATAAGCAACTGCCTTTTGCATACTGCAGTGTATCCCCGTTCTTGCAGCTATTAGCCACTATCACAAATATGCCAGCAGAGCGGCATAGCAAAGAGTCAGTTAATGGTGTTGTCTCCGTGGAAAAAATCAGTATAGAAAGGAAAAAGAGAAAGGGCTTTTTCTCAATATGATTGCATGCAGTGTAACTTTCCAGCTTCCATTCAAAGTCATACTGACATCGTAGTATGTCATTTCAGTCAGCAGAGTAGGAATTCTGAT